TATATATGGCTTCAGTCTTTAGCCATTCACCTTGAAAGTGTGGCCATTCCTTGGATCTTGCACCTCAACGGCACCATGAATAAATGCCTCTACAGCCACAAAGGGACCATCCCATTATGATCGAAGCTTACCCGGAAAGAGTCTCAATTTTGAGTTACAAAGCCATACTTTTTGCCCGGGTTCAAAGGATTTTCTATTAATGTGTTTATCATGGAATTCCTTAGTTTAGAGTTTAAAAATTTTTAAACTCTCATGTGCAATTTTTAAATTTCCTCCAACTCATTAAATTGCAATTTCCGATTGAGCCCAACCACAACCATATCGAAGTTAAACTTCTTTATGGCCCATAACGCTCGGTGCTCAAGTTCAACCTGGAGGTGGCAAGCTTTGCCAAACACCGTCCTATATGGTGACATCTCAATGGGTGTTTTATAAGCTGTACGGTAGGCCCGTAATGCGTCAATCAAGCATTTTAGCCAATCTTTCCTATCTGGCCTTACCGTTTTCTCTATTATATGTTTCACCTCCCTATTAGAGACTTCCACTTGGCCACTAGTTTGAGGGTGGTATGGGGTGCCCACTTTATAAGTGATAGAGTATTTCTTAACTACCGACTCAAAGAAGCGGTTACAAAAATGCGTACCTTGATCACTTATTATGGTTCTAGGAAACCCGAAATGACTAAAAATGTTTTCATGAAAGAATTTGATTACGACTTTATGATCGTTTGATCGGGTAGCTATTGCCTCCACCCACTTAGATATATAATCCACTACCAAGAGAATATACTCAAACCCGAACGACGACGGGAAAGGGCCCATAAAATCAATCCCCCAAACATCAAAGATCTCTACCACAAGAATAGGGGACACTGGCATCATATCACAACGAGATATCGAACCCATTTGCTGACAACGCAAACAAGTTCTACAAAATTGATGGGCATTTTTAAAAATGGTGGGCTAATAAAACCCGCTTTGTAAAACCTTGGCAGTTGTTTTATACCCACTAAAATGACTACCATATGCAGAAAGATGAAAAAATGTAAGAATGCTATGCACCTCACTCTCTGGCACACACCGTCAGATCACTTGGTCGAAGCAATATTTAAACAACTCCGAATCCTCTTAAAAATAATACCTGACCTGCAAAAAGAATCGGTCTTTGTCTTGCTTAGACCAATTTTGAGGAATTTTCCCACTGGCTAAATAATTCACGATATGTGCAAACCATGGGGGGCTCACTCGTGACACCACAAGAAGTTGTTCGTCCGAAAAAGAATCATGCAAAGTTAAAGGGTCACTAGTATACTCAACAAGGACTCGGGAGAGGCGATTCGCTACCACATTCTCAGATCCTTTCTTATCTCAGATCTCTAGGTCAAATTCCTAAAGATTTAATTAACCTAGGTTTGGTCTTTTTCTTTGATAGTAAATACCACAAAGCTGCATGATACTATGACCTTAGAGCCTAGGAGATACGATCGACATTTATCTAAGGCAAAGACCACAGCTAGCAACTCTTTTTCGGTGGTAATGTAATTCAATTGTGCATTTGAGAGAGTGCAACTAGCATAATATATAGCATATTGTGCCCTATTGACCCTTTGGCTCAACATAACCCCGACAACATAGTCCGAGGCATCACACATGATTTCAAATGGGAACGACTAATCTGGTGATTTCATGATTGGGTAGGAATGACAACAGGGCGGGCCGGGGACTACACTCCTCGTCTCCGATCCCCGAAGGCTGAAAAATCCTCGTCCCTGCCCCTGATCCCCAGCAGGGAAACCCATCACCCCCCCGTCCCCATCCCCTAATGGGGATCGGGTTTCCCCGACCCCGAAAAATCCCCGAGCTTTAACACAAGAACAACAAAACAATATATATCACTATGTTTCATCATCATAAACAAATACAAATTTAAATTTAAAAAAAAAAATAATCAGTGTGAGTACACCACACAGATTAGATCACACACATACACACTCACACACACAGATCAGATCATAGAGAGAGAGAGAGAGAGAGAGAGAGAACAGATCTGTTAGATCTGAGTACACCTTTGCGGTTGTGGCGGTGGGTTCGGTGGTGGTAACAGAGACAGACCTTCTGTGGGCGGTGGTGGTGGTGGTGGCCATAAGGAATAGAGAGAGACGAAGTGGAGAGAGAGAGAGGGGGTCGGGGCCACGGTGGTGGTGATGTCCCAGTCGGTGACTACGAGAGTTGAGAGAGTTAACACATAGAGAAGAACGAGAGAGTTAAGAGTGAGAGTGAGAGTGAAAGAGAGAGTTGAGATGAGAGTCAGAAAGAGAAGTGTGAGAGATTAGAGAGCGAGAGATATAAAAATATCACACAACACAGATATATTATATATATATGCACATAATATAAGGGGTTTGGTTTATTATATATATACATATAAAGGGTATAAAAGTAATTTTACTTCGGGAAAATTCGGGGATGGGGTCGGGGACGGGGACGGGCCCGGGCAGGGGGCCGGAGCTTGAACACTGATCACCATCCCCTGCCCGAAACAGATCGGGGATTGATTTTCAAATACCGTCTTCTCCCTGTCGGGGGTATTTTTCGGGAAAAAACCGTTTAAATCGGGGTCGGGGTCGGGGATCCCCGTCGGGTCGGTTTTAAATTTCCATCCCTATGATTGGGGTGGTAGTAAGGGCCACTTTTAGTGTTTCAAAGGCTTTCAAACATGCCTCATCAAAGATAAACAGTGCATCCTTAGCAAGTAAACTACACAAAGGACAGGATATTTACTAAAGTCTTTGATGAACCTACGATAAAAACCTACATGCCCTAGGAAAGACCTAACTTAAAGCACAGAAGTGGCTGGAGGAAGGCCTACAATGAGGTCAACCTTAGCTTTGTCAACCTCTATGCCTTAGGGGGACACAATGTGTCCAACACTATACCCTCACGAACCATAAAATGGCTATTTTCCCAACTCAAAATCAAGTTTGTCTCCACACAACGAATAAGGACTTTGGTTAAGTTCTGGAGATATTCCTCAAAAGACAGCCCAAACACGGAGAAGTCATCTATGAAAACCTCTAAAAATTTATCCACCATGTCAGAGAAAATGGCCATCATACATCGTTGAAAAGTCGCCGGTGCATTACATGACCCAAAGGGCATGCGCCTATAAGCAAAAGTGCCAAAAGGGCAAGTGAACATGGTTTTTTCTTGGTTAGCGAGGTACATCGGGACTTGATTATACCCCAAGTAGTCATCAAAAAAACAATAAAAACCCTGCCCCGCTACCCTCTCAAGAATTTGATCAATAAATGGTAGAGGAAAATGGTCTTTCCTAGTCATGGAATTCAATCTCCTATAATCAAGCCTAGGAACACAGGCAGAGGTTCTAAGTTTCCTATGAGTCTTTTCTAGTTCAAGGTCCAAACTCCACAATTCAGGGGCGACAAGAACGCTGCCCGTGCATACACTACACACACACACACACACACACACACACACTAAGTTTCGACTCTGTGCGCTAAGTTGTGAAAGCAAAATACCTGTTAGACTTATTTATTTTGATGATTTATTTAATTATGTTTTAATTTATTTGAAAGAAAAAAATAGAATCAAAATTTATTTTGCCCCATTATTTCTTACCTAAACCTTTATCCTAAATGTTGTTAGAATGTATTTAATATTTGATTAAATCAGGAGTTCAAACAGCCCAAAAACAGAGGTTCAAACAGCCCAGCACAGTAATAGTTCAAAAGGTTTAAGTGGAAGATATTCAAATTAGTAATGATGGAGTACAACGGCTATAAATTCAAATGAATAGTTCAAAAGGTTCAAGTGAAAGATATTCAAATTAGTAATGATAAAGTACAACAGCTATAAACGGCTATAATTTTCATTATATATATCAAAGCCTCTAATGTAAACAAGTTACAAAAAATCAGAAAACATTCTTTGATCTATAATCACTCACATCTATTCTCGAAAAAATTCTCTGAGAAGTGTTCTTCAATTTTTGTTTACATCCTCTTTCAAAAATTATACACTGAGACGTATAGCTTTAAGCCCATTTTTCTTGTGTGAGGTTTACAGAAAAACTAGAGTTTCATTTTTATATCTATCTTTGAGTGATAATTCTTGTAGCTTTCTGTAAAAGCAAAAACACATTCTTTTCAACCTTGTAAGAGTGTAGTACACTCAGTGTTCTTGACTTAGAAAGTCTGTGTAAAATCCGTGGAGGATTGCTCCATTTGTAAAGAGGTTGCTAGCACCCGTGAAGCTAGAACATAGTGGAAAATCTCAAGTGCAGCTTGAGGAGTGGACGTAGGCCGAGTTGAAGCCGAACCACTATAAATTTGTTTGACTATCTCTCCCTTATCTCTTTATTTTATTTAAATTATTGTAGCTATATTTCATATTTTTATTGTGCTAAAATCAGTAATTGACATAGTTGTTAGAACACTTGTTTTAATTATTTTTATTTCATTAACTATATTTATCTATTGTGCTAGTCATAATTTTTATTAGGGTATTATTAATTTTTAATTGTAAAAACCATTTTATAAGTGTATTTATGTTAAATATGTCTAAAAAATAAAAAAAATTATTTAAAATATTAAAAAAATTCAGTAAAAATAAAAAAAATAAAAAAATAAAATTTTTTAAAAGATATTTTTTAAAAAATAGAAACAAGGTTAGACCGCAACTTATAGATCCGCACGTTGCCTTTTGTTTTCCAGTGAATTACTTTCCTCGTCAGGAGAACCTTTTATCCTCTAATATTACCGGATTCCTCCAATCCAATCTGATCTTATCGGCGAGCCCATTATTACTGTTCGTAGCTTTATGGGCCCACAGATTAATCCAATCCAAGGGCGGGAAAATAGAGCAGTGGTTGGGGACACTCAAATTACCATACACACGCGTCCGCGCCCAACATTGATTTGTAATTTTCCCTCCAAACACGACAAAGTGGAGTGGCGCATACCTAGATATATATAGATTAGAAGACCAAGAGATAGAGATAGAGATAGAGATAGATATAGATTAGAAGAGCGTGAAGTAAACCCTAGCGCTCTCTTTCACTGAACGTGTTTGTGGAGTGTAAAAGCCGGCGGCATCTATGGCCGGAATAGAAGAAGATGGATATCCGGCGGAGAGGCTGTTCAAGCAGGGCTACTCGTACACGTACGATGACGTGATCTTCCTCCCCCACTACATCGATTTCCCCGCTGACTCTGTCCAACTCTCCACCAAACTCACCCGCAACCTCAACCTCTCCATCCCCTGTGTCTCCTCCCCCATGGACACCGTCACCGAGTCCTCCATGGCCCTCTCCATGGCTTCTCTCGGGGGCCTTGGCATCGTCCACTCCAACAACTCCCCCTCCGATCAAGCCTCCATCATACGCTCCGCTAAGTCTCACCGCTTCCCCTTCCTCTCCTATTTGACTTTCCTATCCCCTTCTGATTCCATCAATTCCGTCGCTGATTTCCCTGCCGCTGGCTGCCGCATCATCCTTGTTACTGAGTCCGGGACCAGCAAATCCAAGCTCTTAGGCGTCGTCACTATATCTGATTGGGAGGCATTGAAGGACAAAGAGGCTAGAGTTTCTGACTACATGGTGAAATCACCGGTTTCAGCGCCATCCGACTATGATTCCGAGCAAGTTGCTGCGTATTTAGCAGCAAAGAATCTGGAATTCGTGCCTTTGGTGAATGAGAAAGATGGAGGACAAGTAGTGGATGTGGTGACTGCAGCTGATGTGGACAGGATTAGGGGGTTTCCGAAGAGTGGGGGGATGCCGTCGGTGGGGAGGGATGGAAAGTTCATGGTGGGAGCGGCCATTGGAACGCGAGAATCAGATAAAGAGAGATTGGAGCATTTGGTGAAGGCAGGGGTCAACGTAGTGGTGTTGGATAGTTCGCAAGGGAATTCAAGCTACCAGATTGAGATGATTAAGTACGTGAAGAATACTTATCCGGACTTGGATGTCATCGGTGGGAATGTGGTGACCATGTACCAGGCACAGAATTTGATTCAGACTGGAGTTGATGGATTGAGAGTTGGGATGGGCTCTGGCTCCATTTGCACCACCCAGGAGGTCTGTGCTGTTGGCCGAGGACAGGTATTGATTTAAAAAATGAATTATTGTCAAAACTATTCTTACAGAATGTTTCATTATTTTCTAAAATTATTGTTGTTTATTTCATCTCGGACTCAGAGGAAAGGGGATGTGGAACAGGTTTGGGTTGGGAATTAACCTATATATATATAACGAATTGATGCATTGTGGACTTTGAGTCATGAAATATCAAACATTGTTCAACTTCAGGATGCATATGCCCATGCCCACGCGTCTGTTATGCCTAAAATTTTTCAAATCGAGGGCTTCTCTTCTGATAGGAATTATTCTTTTGCTGAGACAATTTCGAGTGCTACCTACTTGCTACAACTGCATGTTTCAAGTAAAAGATTTCTGACAAAGATTAACTGTGGAAGCAGCTGCTGATGCTCTATGTTTTCATAAATTATTATCATGCACTATGTATGGAACACTTGAAACATTGACAACAAGTTTTAGGGAGAAACAACTATTAGTCTGTTTCTCCTTAGGAACAGCTTCTTGGGATACCTACCTGTTTTTGTGTTTAGGATGTTAATGCCATAAAGAACTATTGATCATGACAGGGACTTCTCTTCCATTTTCTGGGGCTATTCTTATATTTATACTCATTTATTTGTTTTCCCCTTTCCTTGAAACTTCTTAGGCAACTGCGGTTTACAAGGTTTCATCTATTGCTGAAAGAAGTGGTGTGCCTGTCATTGCTGATGGTGGCATTTCAAACTCCGGACATATTGTCAAGGCTTTGGTCCTTGGGGCTTCAACTGTAATGATGGGAAGCTTCTTAGCTGGAAGTAATGAAGCTCCTCGAGCTTATGAATGCCAGGTGATGCATGCCATTATCACACTCCTTTTGTATTGCTATCGTAAATGATGATTTTTTTGTGATAGAAAATAAAATCCCTTGCTTAGTTTATACTCCATGTATGAGTTTTATTTAGCAATTATCTATTTTTAATTTATATTGCCTTGAAGTTTTTTTTATTATCCTTCATTTTCATTTCTCTCCCATTCTCTCTTCTAACATGTCAATTAAAATTTATATTTATATTAAAAAAAATTCTTAAATAGATTAGGTATAATACCCGTATAAAATAATAAAAGGAATTATAGGCTGTCCATTTTTGCATAGCAAGGTGTCACATCTCAACGGAATTCTCCAAAATATCCGGAGGGGAGCATGCAAGAAAGAAAGGCTAATGGAAGGATCTAAAACTCCCTAGCAAACTTTAGCACATATGAAGACTATGGAGAATTCTAGAAGGACTTTGAAAAGTCAAGAACCTATACACTTGTACATATAATTAGATATTTGTATAGATAGTTCTAAAAGGCATCTTAGAACATTCTTGTAGCTTGTAAAGAAGGCTTCCATGGAAAGCTTCTACATGACATTTTTTTGAGAGTTCTAGAATGCTCCTAGGGAGCCTATAAATAGGAGAGGAGCTCATTTGCTCCAATTCATCCAAGAGTTGTAAAGCTTTCTCATAGTGAATACAAGGCATTCTTTCAAACTCTCTTTGTCTTTCTACTTGTCTTCTTATAAGTTTGTGAGATAGGCTGACTTAGTATCATCAAGCAAGGCTTGTGATTAGCTAAGTGCCGCATGGAGTGCTCGGAATCAACCCAGGTTGTGACAAAGGTCTTACTTTTCTTTCACAGAGGGCGGTATGGGGAGGGCAGTATGGGGGAGGGGTGTGTGAATGATTGGATATGGTTCATCAATAAGAAGGTAGTAATTAGTATATATAACCACCAAAAATTGCGCCCTGTTGGGGAAAGTCATTTGTTTGATTCCTTATCATTTGTTTGATTCCTTATGAAGAAGTTCCTCCATCTTCTGAGGGAAAACTCACTGCAAACCAAACTTGACAAGATTAAATAACACAAATCTCACGCCACCTTGCAATGAATAATTACATGAATCACAAACTCCCTGTCATGCTTACACATAATACCACATGACATGAACTAATTTCGTTTTAATCAACGGTAAGAATCTTGTCGTGTGACCTTCTAACGAGTCTTAGTCCCCACACCTCTTTCAAAGGAAAAAGAACCCTCCCTTGACCCGTTAAAAACCTCATAAAAAGATAGCCTCAAAATGTGGAGGTTTTGATCTCACTAGGGAGCCTATAAATAGGAGAGGAGCTCATTTGCTCCAATTCATCCAAGAGTTGTAAAGCTTTCTCATAGTGAATACAAGGCATTCTTTCAAACTCTCTTTGTCTTTCTACTTGTCTTCTTATAAGTTTGTGAGATAAGCTGACTTAGTATCATCAAGCAAGGCTTGTGATTAGCTAAGTGCCGCATGGAGTGCTCGGAATCAACCCAGGTTGTGACAAAGGTCTTACTTTTCTTTCACAGAGGGCAGTATGGGGAGGGCAGTATGGGGGAGGGGTGTGTGCATGATTGGATATGGTTCATCAATAAGAAGGTAGTAATTAGTATATATAACCCACCAAAAATTGCGCCTGTCATTTGTTTGATTCCTTAATGAGGAAGTTCCTCCATCTTCTAAGAGAAAACTCACTGCAAACCAAACTTGACAAGATTAAAGAACACAAATTTCACACTACCTTGCAATGAATAATTACATGAATCACAAACTCCCTGTCATGCTTACACATAATACCACATGACATGAACTAATTTCGTTTTAATCAACGGTAAGAATCTTGTCGTGTGACCTTCTAACGAGTCTTAGTCCCCACACCTCTTTCAAAGGAAAAAGAACCCTCCCTTGACCCGTTAAAAACCTCATAAAAAGATAGCCTCAAAATGTGGAGGTTTTGATCTCATCTATATGATAGCGTTCCCTCCATCACTAATATGTGCAATGGCATTAAGGCACCCAAGAGGCTCCAACATCTCTCCCTACCTCTCAATCATTCATCTTTCTAGAAAGGCCAATAACCCAATTGTCCACCACCTGCAAATTGGTTTGTTCACCACTCCACCCAGGTCAAACTCTTTCAACATACTACCAAAATCGGCCTCCCTATCATCAAACTTGCTCCATTATGCACACCCCCTCCTTCCTTTTCAACCTAGATACCCTAACATCCAAATATCTTGTGCCCCTTGTATCTCATACTTTTCTTCCTATGCTTTCGGGATAAGTTTCCTTTGCTGGGATGATTAGGATGAAAGAAGTTAAGATTAGAAGAGTGTGAAGAAGTAAACCCTAGCCTAGCGCTCACTTTCTCTGGATCTGCACTGAGCTGAACTAGCCGGCGGCATCTATGGCTAGAACACTGATAGAAGAAGATGGATATCCAGCGGAGAGGCTGTTCAAGCAGGGCTACTCGTACACGTACTGTGACATGATCTTCCTCCCCCATTTCATCGATTTCCTCACTGCCTTCGAGATAAGTTTCCTTTGCTAGGATGATTTGGATGAAAGAAGTTAAGTTTAGTAGAGAGTGAAAAAGAGAGGGATTTCACATATGTAATATTGTATTTTCTTGCTTGTATATGTATTGAACTTATTATTTTTCTCTGGATTGGGGTGTTTTATTGTGTGGTTGTGGGTGGGGAGGGGAGGATACATTATAATAGGGTGGTTGTGGCTTCTCTTTTAAATTCATTCCTTATTATCTCTCCCAACACATTTTACTGTAACAGGGGGGCCGCCGAATAAAAAAATATTGAGGCATGGGCTCCTTGGAAGCAATGACAAAAGGGAGTGATGCACGATACTTGGGTGATACAGCTAAGCTAAAGATTGCTCAGGGGGTTGTTGGAGCAGTTGTAGACAAAGGTTCAGTTTTGAAGTTTTTACCTTACACTATGCAAGCAGTTAAGCAGGGTCTCCAGGACCTTGGTGCACCGTCCTTACAGTATGCTCATGAGTTATTGAGATCATCCGTACTTAGGCTAGAGGTATGATATAGCATCTGGCTTTTACCTTATTTATCTTCAATGACTATCCATGCCCTTTTGATTTATTATTATTTACTTATCTACATCCACAAACCTTTTCATGGCTATAAAATTGAAGCAGAGCTGATTCTATATGTAATAATTCTAGTTTCAACTTGTGCAATATTTAAATAAGTAGTTCTTTTGGCTCATTTAGTCGGGGGCAGAATAGCTATTTTCTTCCATGGCAACTTAGAAATGACAGTTACTGGTAAAGGGGAATGATGGAGAAGAAAAAAGTTCACTAATTGTAATTGTATTGGAGGATATGATGTATTCTTTTTTGGGGTTTGTACAGGTTCGTACTGGAGCTGCACAAGTTGAAGGTGGAGTTCATGGGCTGGTTTCTTATGAAAAGAAGTCTTTTTGATATCCAGTTCCAGAGCTGCCATTATTTATTGAAAGCTGCGACTGCTTGGCGGTTATAATTTGTTTGGTGCTCCACCATCTAAATTCAAATTGTCGACATTCAAGTTATAACAGAGAGGAGCTTGCTAATTTTTGTCACTAGCTTTTGACACTTGAGAGGCACTTGCACTTAAAAAGCTCCCTAGGAAATGCATGTTGCAAATCCCTTGTATGATTCCAAATTTGGTGTTTTCATCATGTGACTGGCAATAGCAGGGGGAATGGATTGTATTTTAAGCGATATTAATTATGACTCGCTTAATGCTAAAATGAAACTTTATTGTTTTGGGAATGTGTATCTTGATTAGGTGTTCTTTCTTTGATCTATGAGTGTCTCTATCTTGGGCTTTTTGTTTTCTGGTTTGGAGCTGATCTGATGTACTATAAATATTAGTTGAAGTTTGTTCTTATTTTTGGCCAATTTTTTTTTGTTTTGTTTTGGTAACACCTGACATTAAATATCATCCCAGGTTGGGCTTGGACTGGTAGAGTTAATTCTAAAAGTGCCAAGAGTTGAGAAGTTAAAACTGTGGTTGTTCTTAAATAATATGCCCAATATTTGTTTGTCTCAACTGGACACTTGAATTGATTTTAATGTGAAGGGAATTTTTCAAACACTCTTTTGCACGAGCACAAAAAGTGGGCAAGGAAAGGAAGAGAATTATGGAAAGACACTTGCAAAAGCCAAATTTAGATACAACTTAATGCCATCCAATTGTCCTAACATATTATAATGCAAATGATTTTTATTCGATATGTTTGTAAATTTGCTTATGTACGATGGTATTGTTGTGAATGGGGGCCATTCTTGACAACCACCATTTGCCTTGTAAACAACCAGCTTCCAGAATTTCATAAGAAGGATGTGGCTCATCAATTATACCACTTTGATATTAAAACATATTATCATTCCAAGTGTTGGGACTCCGTAATTCCAACAATTTCTGAAAGTAATTGTCCCTCAAGAGAGTCCCACAAATCAGAAGAGGATTGTTCAGTCTATATTGAAAATTATTATGTAGCTAAATGACACAAATTGCTCCAGCCTCCAGTGTAACTGTTATCTCCTATCCCCTCCCTCACCTGCTGGGGAACTCTGGAAAATTCAAGACGATATGGCCTGCCTACAGGAAATGTCTGTCAACACAAACACTTCTATTTGTATATGATATATATATGTATGTATATATATATATATATGTTACGAGGAACATGGAAAGGAGGGAAATTTGATCAAGAATCTTTTAAAAATAATAACATATCACAGGATACTTAAGATTCGTAGTGGCCAATTGATTCATAAATGATTTTTTTCATAGCATTGATCATCTCATGTGAAGTGAATCCGTCATCCTTCATATAAAATAGACTCAACACTTCAACCATCTTCCAAAACAAATCCTTGCAGGCTCGTGGAACTAGGCTTCCCTTTTCCTGCAAAACTAATCTCAGCAGTTCTCTCTTTTGACTGACAATGATACTCTTGATCTCTTTAATGGATTCTTCTGCAGTAACAATCCCACCACTGCCATCAACCATGTGCAGTAATGATATAGCATTCAATTTACCTTCCATGGATTCCCTCTACAATACCATATACTTACCATTTAAGCAATCAACACACTTCAAAACCTGATTGTGAAACTGGTTGTAACAATAAATAACAGCATATTATTAATACCTCAAAGCTGTTGATATCATTGAGAAGACGCCCAAAAGTGCTCGTAAGCTTGTATAGATTTGCTATTCAGAACTGTAAACAATCTCCTTTGAGAGTACCAGACCCAACAAAATAAAGCAGGGAGGACAATTGGTCCGGAGGCCAATGATACAAAGCCATTGGTCATATATGCATCCCTTGTTGGCACTGACTTGTCCCTAGCCCATTTAGCTTCTCTCAACATAGAATTGATCAAATTCAACTACTAAATGATTTTTTTCATAGCATTGATCATCTCATGTGAAGTGAATCCGTCATCCTTCATATAAAATAGACTCAACACTTCAACCATCTTCCAAAACAAATCCTTGCAGGCTCGTGGAACTAGGCTTCCCTTTTCCTGCAAAACTACTCTCAGCAGTTCTCTCTTTTGACTGACAATGATACTCTTGATCTCTTTAATGGATTCTTCTGCAGTAACAGTCCCACCACTGCCATCAACCATGTGCAGTAATGATACAGCATTCAATTTACCTTCCATGGATTCCCTCTACAATACCATATACTTACCATTTAAGCAATCAACACACTTCAAAACCTGATTGTGAAATTGGTTGTAACAATAAATAACAGCATATTATTAATACCTCAAAGCTGTTGATATCATTGAGAAGACGCCCAAAAGTGCTCGTAAGCTTGTATAGATTTGCTATTCAGAACTGTAAACAATCTCCTTTGAGAGTACCAGACCCAACAAAATAAAGCAGGGAGGACAATTGGTCCTGAGGCAAATGGTACCAAGCCATTGGTCATATATGCATCCCTTGTTGGCACTGACTTGTCTCTAGCCCATTTAGCTTCTCTCAACATAGAATTGATCAAATTCAACTACGCTAGACAAACATAGCTTATCATTGTTAGATTGAATAATGAAATAAGGTCCAATCGCCCCACGAGCCCTGCTTTACATTCCATCTTAACACCCTAGTCAAGGTTGCTTCCACAAAAAGAAAAAACACAATGAGATATGATATGATTTCATTCTAGACAAAACTACTTCTGAACCTATACTAAATCAAAGGTAAGACGAATCATAAACTATAAATTATGATACTCATGGGAAATAGAGAGAATATGTTTTGCACCTTTTCCTGTAATTGTAGTAATGGAAATAAGGGAAAAGTGAAAGAATCCAAACAGATGAGCAAAATAGAATGTGAGACCATATAGATAGGGAGGGCATGATCATATCATCAAATCCAAAATGCCCCTTCCTAATATCCAAATACATCCTTAAAATATGCCCGATTGTTGGATGCATATGAAACTAGAGAAAAGAATTTCTGCCAAACAGCTACAAGGTTAGGCATACATAGATGTACAACACAGAAAGCAAGTTAGACAAAAGAAAACAAAAAACAAAAAATAAAAATTTGATCCGATTTAATAGTTATCGATATCCGATAAATGTGATTTTTTGCAAGAATAAAATACTCAATAAGCTCTAAATATTGAACGGATCGGATTATCGAAATAAGACCTATGGTGAGCCACATTAGCCCGAACAGAATGGTCCAGTCTGTTCACCCCTTACCATTTCTCTTTCACTTTTTTTAAATTTTTTATTTTATTTTATATTATCTCTTACTTTTTTTAAAAAAAATTATTTTTCCAAATGTACTTATTCCCTGTCAACTTCCAAAATTGTTTGGTAGAGTTTAACTAAGTTGATTGTAAATTTTTTTATTATATAATTTTTACTTAGAATTTACTTATTTAGTGATTTTTTTAAAGTTTATTTTTGTCTTCAGTTAACTTTTCTTTTAATTTTTTAAAAAATTCAACACTTTTAAATTTTGCTCAACAAGCGCACTGTAAAATTAATTTTTTTTTTAAAAATCCAAAAAAGATAATGGACTTTTGTTTGTGTGTGCTTATTTTGACTTTAGAATTTTTTAATTTTTTTCAAAAAAAATTAGATTCATTAACACAACAAATTCAAAAAATAAAAAATTTGACATAAATTTTTTAAAAAATCACAAAAGACAAAAAACATTTAGAAAAGGAAGCCTTATTAAGCTCACCCTATAAATTAAATAAGTTAAAAAAAATTGATTTATTTGAAAGAAAAAGGATATATTTTTAACTTATACTTTTTAATTATCTGTTTTTAGCTTATAACAAATTTTGCGAATACACTGATTGTGTTAATAATGTTAATAATGTATATAGGATCTCTTTAAAATGAATACCCCAAAAGTCAAGACAGCAAGAAAGAAGCAGTGTGTTAACTGCTACATGCCATAAAAAGGATTGTTCACGCAAAAGGCAAAGTTGTAACAGAAATAGAGATCTACAAAATACAATTTCAAACGCCATTATAATACAGTGTCAAGGCTTGGAACCAACTTAAAACGATTAATTTCATGGAAATATAACCCAACGATTGTAGTTTACAGTGCATTTGTTGAAACCTATAAATAAATTCAAAAAAACAAAATGGGAGAAATTGGATAATGATATATCATAGGGAAATTGGTTCATAAATGATCTTTTTCACAACATTGATCAACTCATGTGAAGTGAATCCGTCATCCTTCATATAAAATAGACTCAACACTTTGAGCATCTTCCAAAACAAATCCTTGCAGGCTCGTGGAACTAGGCTTCCTTTTTCCTGCAAAACTAATCTCAGCAGTTCTCTCCTTTGACTGACAATGATACTCTTGATCTCTTTAATGGATTCTTCTGCAGTAACAGTCCCACCACGGCCATCAATCATGTACAGTGATACAACATTCAATTTACCTTCCTTGGATTCCCTCTGCAATACCATACACTTACCAATTAAGCAATCGACAAACTTGAAAAGCTGATTTGTGAAACTGAACATTTAGAAAAGGAAGCCTTATTAAGCTCACCCTATAAATTAAATAAGTTAAAAAAATTTGATTTATTTGAAAGAAAAAGGATATATTTTTAACTTATACTTTTTAATTATCTGTTTTTAGCTTATAACAAATTATGTGAATACACTGATTGTGTTAATAATGTATATAGGATCTCTTTAAAATGAATACCCCAAAAGTCAAGACAGCAAGAAAGAAGCAGTGTGTTAACTGCTACATGCCATAAAAAGGATTGTTCACGCAAAAGGCAAAGTTGTAACAGAAATAGGGATCTACAAAATACAATTTCAAACGCCATTATAATACGGTGTCAAGGCTTGGAACCAACTTAAAACGATTAATTTTATGGAAATATAACCCAACGATTGTAGTTTACAGTGCATTTGTTGAAACCTATAAATAAATTCAAAAAAACAAAATGGGAGAAATTGGATAATGATATATCATAGGGAAATTGGTTCATAAATGATCTTTTTCACAACGTTCATCAACTCATGTGAAGTGAATCGTCATCCTTCATATAAAATAGACTCAACACTTTGAGCATCTTCC